CATCCACCCTAGTAGCGATGGCCTCCCACCTAGAAGCGACGGCCTCCAACCTAGTAACGATGGCCTCCAACCTAGTAGCTATGGCTTCCAACCTAGTAGCGATGGCCTCCCACCTAGAAGCGATGGCATCCACCCTAGTAGCGGTGTCAACCCTTCCCTCCATGTAGAACCCCGATTGAGAAGCACCAAAATTGTTAGATGGTGAAACCCTTTTCATCATGAGTGGTTGAAGCGCTTCCGAAAAATGCGCGGGATGCAGGCGCCGAGCGCACGCAGCCGAGTCTCCATGCCGTGTCTCCAGGCGTCCGTGGCCGGGGCGCGTGGCATGTCTGGTGGGGTGGTGTGATGTGAGACGGATGAAGATCTCCTAAGCAAAAGGTGCCTCATGAAGAGGTCCTAAGGGTCAGAGTAAGTTAGAATGCAGTCTAAAAAAGAATTGCTGTACGATGCTGTACGTATGTAAGCAGTCGAGACATTGGATGTGAGATTGTTCACCACTCACCAGCCGTTCCGGAGATTCTATTTTTGCATATTTTTGCCTAGATAGGTCAGTATGTGGCATCAATTTTCAGTACATGTTGCATGCAGTTACATTCCCTTCGGCTGCTATCTTGAACCATGAGAAACCGTCAAATTGACAAATTTATAGTAAGCACCAAATGGCAAACAAGCATGAACGAGTCAGAGCGGATCCTGTTGAAAACCCACATGTTAATTGTTAATCCATTTGTTTTTTGACTATTTGCCGTGTGAATGGAGCCAAGAACTCTTGGGGGTCAATTGTTTGCTCTCAAAGGCCTCGCTTGGCCTTTTGTTTGTATCCGTCGCAAGCAGTGGTCTGGTCCCCCTGAGCTAAAAGACTTGGACAAGAATGGTGATCGATTCAGACTGGTGGGGGCACCAGATTGGAGCAGAGAAAGCGCAAGCTACAGCTGACAACTTATACAAGATGCCACTCTTTGCTCTATGCACCTAATAAAACATATGGTTTACTGTACATGTATATACATAATATATATATATATATAGTAAATATATTGATGTGTATGTTTGACTTGCTGTTTCCCTTCTGTTAGAGTCCCACGCCGCAGGCGTCGCAGGCGTCGTCCCATCCAACTTGGAGGCCTTGATCGATCAGACGATCCGGGACATCCAAACGCTGGAGACCCAGGAGACCGGGAGTCTTGTTGAATTACTTGGTTTAGAATATTGATATACAGTTATGGTTTTAATTGTTTTGGTGTTTGCTTAAGGTCATGTGTTTGATTTTCATTTGGTTGTTTCATATGGCTTTTCTGTTTCGAGCTTTTTTAAATGTGTTTTCTTTCTGGTGTTCTTTTCTGGGTGTTCTCTTTGTTGGCGCCTTGCGCCCGTCCTCTTGGTGTTGCATATCTTGGAGAGCCCCTCAGAATCCAAGGCGTGGTCAATCAGGGACATCCAGCGAGACTCCAAGCCACTGTCGAGTAAGGCGACTAGCACAAAAGAGATTCCTTTCCTTGTCAACCCACAAGTTCTTGTGCCTGTTCGGGGTGTGCTGGGCCCTTTCTCTACCAATGATACGTTCGGATGCCAGGCCGATTTGCCCTTGAAAATTGTCGCGTGTGGCACGGGCTGAACGTCCAACCAAAAAGACCTTCGGGGGCACTCTTCCAAGTGTATGCGCGAAAAGAGTAGTGAGTTGTTCAGAGTCGGCAGAAGTTGCAAGACTATATTTGACCCCACTAAAGTACAGTGAAATGTTCCTTTCGGTCACCTAAAGACGCTCTTTTGAGTAGTCTTGGACTCTTAGGGTGTCAGCACCAAGATGATCTTCAGTCTTGAGTCTTGACCAAATTTGCCATTCAGGAGCAACTTTGGTCTCATCCTGATCCTGATGACCATTTTGTGGAGGATGACTCGAAGGTGCTTTGCCGGGGCATTCCAAAGTACGAGGTCTATATTGCCAACGGAAAGGATCCTTTGCTTTCCCAAACTCTGAAAAACCTGGTCTAGAAATACAGAAACATGTCAGCGATGTTATAGAGATTTCCTTGAAGTTCTGTCAATGACAAGCTCAGGGCTGCTTTGATTCGAGTGGGTGATCTCAGGTTTCTCCAAAAACACCAACTGTTGACCAACTCCCAGACCTTTCAGGGGAACTGCGGAGTCGGCTCCCAGGCCGAACGCTTCGGTCCACTTCCGCCAGCTCCTTCGCATGCGTTTGGGGGACGTGGGACGGCGGATCGTCCGCTGGGAGGAGCTTTGAACGCACTAGAGGGTTGGGTTGGCGATTTCGCACGCGGGCGAACGTCATGAAGGCGAAGGGTGAAGAGATTTGCCTGAATTTGACATGCAGCAACCAAGAGGACGCTACTAGCAACAAAGGGTATCGGAGCAAGGACGCTACTAGTAAATCAAGATCAAGAGGTGGTCGGGGCTCTCCGAACTGAACTCGGACTCTCGCTCCATTATATAAGAGAAGGTTGGTCGATATGTTGAAGCTCCAGAATTACACGTGTCGCACAATGCTCAGACTAGTCTAGTTGTTATCCTGCCTTCCAACATCCTGGCTTGCTGGTTCTTAATCAATCCGAGCAGCCATGAGTTGAAGCAGAAACCCAGAGTGTATTAGCATGAGAGCACTGGCACTAAATACCACGGTGAGTTGCCTTGAGTGCCTACAACCGTTAGGTTGCTAAAAGATGTGACACGGCAAGAGTTGTGGCAAACTGTAACGTTGTGAGTTTTGGGATGCTTTTGTGCACCACGTTCATTAGGTCCCAGATGTTTTTTAGCTGTTTTCAGCAACAGTGACGTCGCAATTCCTTTTGGACATCGCAGTTTGCCCTTCTTGCCGACCCAATTCTGGACACGGGCCTTTGGACTCAAAGTCCACTAGAAAGCCACTTAAAATCCTTCCAGACGCTCATGGACCCTCATATGGAAGGATCGCACCTTCATATGGAATCTGATGTCTTCATATGGGGGCTTGGTTTTGGACGTGCACGGGCTCCGCGCCGTGCTCCGAGGTCGAGGTGCCTCAGCCACCCTTGATCCCACGCGCCAGGAAAGCCACGGGTCACGGGCTTGGACGACGTACCTAGGAACAAAGGGCATCGCTACTAGGAACAAGTACTACTAGGAGCAATGTTCGCTACTAGGAACACGACTTCTTCGTCCAGTGCGCGACCTTCGCCCGACTTCTTCGTCCGTGAAACAGACCGTGTTGGAACCCGCGCCCAGGTGATGCGGAGAAGCAGCGCGCCCGAGCGGAGGCGGAGCGGCGGAAGGCGGTGCGGGAGTATCTGAAAGAGGCCTGCAAGCCCACTCTGAGGCCCAGGAGCCGGACGGTGGCTGTTTTGGAGCGGGTTAGTGTTCGGAGGCGGAGAAAGGATGGAGTGGGACGAGTCCGGTCCGTTCGTAGAATGCTCTCCCATGTAATACATTTGTAGGCGTTTTGATGGAGTTGGGGCCATTTGCTGAACTACTCTGGGGACAGGCAGTTGTGAGCAGCTTTTGATACATTGCATTTTGGTGGTTGGTGTGAAAGTATTGACCCTGCAAAGGGAATTTGACTCGCATCTAGAGGAAAAACAACAGGCTTTGGGATGTGCACATCAATGCCAATATATGCCAATGCTCTATCCTTTCAACAAAATCTTGGCTTGACAGAATTCCAACATGTGCTGTATACTGCATAACTCCCAACCCAGCAGCTTCATCCAGGTTGAATGTCTTGGATGAGGGGCCATGAGTCCATTCACTGGAGATGCAAGCTTCAGGGGCTCTAAGTAGCAGGTGGCAACTTCACACGATGGAGCATAGCAGGCACAACAACACTTTAACACACATTCTTGTTTCAACATGTTTCAACTAGCAGACTAGCAAGCAGTATATATACATTGTTGATATTTGTTACTGTCGTTGAACATTCTTCTTAAGTGTTGGATCTTGGAACTTGGACGCGAGTGCCTTTTCAATCTTATTCACTCGACCGATTTCAACACCAGTCAAAAGACCCTCCCGTTGAACCGCGAGTCGCTGGACCTGGACCGGCACGACCCTTCGAGGAGTCCCTACGTGGCCCCAAAACTTGATCTGTTGGATTCCGAGCAAAGACGTCCCTGGGAGTCTGGGCATGGCATTTCGGCGGGTGAGAGACGGGTGACATGGGCGCGAGACCTCTCGCACAACACGGAAGAGAGACGTATGAAACATCATGGAAGACCTGGTGGTGTTTTGGAAGTAGGAGATCAGAATGAAACCGGTCTTTTCACATGCCCAATGTCTTCCGGCATTTTTGGGCAGGGACTGTGATAATCTCGAAAGAGACCTGATCGAGATATGTTTTGTGCATGGAAAGTCTGCGGAATTTGGTCTCGGATTGCCTAGGGGGACCTGCTGACAGTGGGGTTACTTGCGATGGCGTCCCTTTTTCGGTCCATGCCGCCGCGGGCCCTCCGGAAGTCGTACCACGCACCACCACGCCGTCTCATGTTCGCCACCGACACGGCAAAATGGGCCACGTTCACCGAGGAGAACTCCATGGAGTCCCTGTCCTTGTATCCTTTAGAGGCGAAGATTTGCAGCCAGGTGATTTGGTGAGCCTCCAGGAGTTCTTTGCCTCCAGAGGAGGGCTGTTCTCCTCTAAAACACCGGGAGACCACTGTGGAGACGAGAAACACAATGAGCCTCCGGCGACGAAAGCACGACTGGACGGGGTGTTTCGAACTTGGGGTTTGAGCATTGGTGAAACCGAGCTCATGAATTAAGGACCATCTTGGGGCCGGCGAAGAAAAAGAGCCGCAGGTTCGGGTGCATGCGGGTGGATTCAGAGACCAAGAGTAGTAGGGCCATGTTGCAAGTGATGCAGTTCTAAAGTTGGTCTTACTGGTTGGAATTGAATCATGCTTGAGAAATGAGATGGATGATTATGGATCTGGATAGTGACATTGCATCCAGCCAGATGACATTCACGGGAGATTGCTTCTGTTGCCATGACTGGCTTCTGCGGGCGCCGGAAGGGCTGCGGGTTGACCGATGCCTCAGGCGAATTCCTGGTATCGCTTTCGACATGTTCCTTTCCCCCACGCCACTAGGGTCTTGGGCCCACTAGGGTCTGTGTAGGGCTGGGTCGGGTGCACGTGCAGCTATCGGGGGCGTACTGGGCCCTGGGTGGGGCCTATGTTGGGCCTATGTTGGCCTAGGTTGGGCCTATGTTGGCGTATGTTGGCCCCATGTTGAGGATATGTCAGGCTATTTAAGTCGTCTGGAGGGCCTCTACCCACAAAATGTCGATTATGCCTGTCCGCCCGGCGCGCATTACCGACACCACCCTTAAAAAACACAGCGTTTTTGCATTTCTCCATCTTCGCCAAGACAGAGTAAACCACAGACACGCAAACCAAGCGAATGAAGAACACATTAGTCAAGCACAGACAGACACACAGACCGTTCCAAAACAGAGGCGTGCACGGGGGCCTCCCAGCAGCATCCTCCAAACTGGAGGGGGCTGACTGCCCTCGCTTCGCTGCCAGAAGCCGAAAGTCGGGTGAGCCGTTGCATGCGAAACCCACAAAGCCCGCTCGCGCCCCACTGACTCTGCTCCGAAGCGAGTAACCCAGCGTCGGATAAGTGCGACGAGCTGAACCCCAGGTTGGCCAACCACTTCCGGCGCAGGTTGAGGCTACGTGGGATTATGTTGCTCCAGCCTGACGCCGATGTTGGGCCGACGTTGGCCTACGATTAGCCTATGTTGGGCCCATCTTGGACCGATGCTAGGCCTATGTTGGGCATAGGTCCGCCTATGTTTGGCCTATGTTGGGCCTATGCTGGGCCCATGTTGGCCTATGTTGGGACTATGCTGGTTGGCCTATGTTGGCCCTATGTTGAACCAGGTTGGAGGCAATGTGGCGCATATGTTGCGGATTGGCAGGCTATCTTCAGCCCATGTTGCGAAGCAGAAACGTCCCTCCTGTCTATGGGCTGGGTCGGGTCCACGTTCAGCTATGTTGTCCCATTGTGCGGCCCAGGTTGAACGATGTTGGGCCCATGTTCGGCCCAGGTTGGGCCTATGTTGGGCTTAGGTGGGCCTACGTTGGGCCTATGTTGGACTATGTTAGCCTATGTCGGGCCCACGTTGGGCCTATGTTGAGCCTATGCTGGCCCTATGCTGAGCCATCTTGGAGGCTATGTTGGGCATATGTTGGGGATATGTTGGCTATCTTGGGCGTATGTTGGGCATATGTTAGCCCATCATATCTGAAGATACAATTTTTTACGATTTTTTCCGCCCCTCAAAGCCAAAACTACGTAAAAACCAAGGTTTTTTAACGTCGCGAAGATGAAATTCTCAGCCGGGAAGGGCCCCAAACCCTGTAAAAAAACACAGTGTTTTTTATACCTCACACACACACACACGAAACACTGTAAAATACAGGGGCATCAGTGCCGATAGGGTCCGCCCGTTTTTGGCCCGAGGGTCGGCGGCAGCCAGGGCCAGCGTCTATAACCTTCGGTTACCACCGAAGGCCTCCAGGCAGGGCACGGGCTTCGTGGCCGGCGCCCGGATTAACCAGGCTAACGCCTGGCAGCCGCCCACCCCCAGCGAAGTGGATGGCCTAGGTTTAATGGGTTAAGAGTGGGGAACCCAAAAAACAACACGGAACCCCTAGAGACATGATCTGTCACTGCATCACCAAAGTAGGCAGAAGAGAGCACGGCAAATGGGTTAGCATTTTTCTTGGGAACCCAAAAACAACACGGAGCCTTTACAAGTACCTAGAGAAACCAGAGGAAATGCTGGAAAACACCCTCAAAAGGTCTGAAGGGCATGAGGGACCAGGCCGCGACCAGCCCGGGATTCGAGCCCGGAACCATTTAGGGACCGTGCTTATTTTCCCGCGCGGGTGGAGAGGGTGCCCCAATCCCCAGTAAGAAGCAAACCAATACATTTGGCAAAATCTTGGACACATCTTGCGCAAATCTTGCACAAATCTTGCGCAAATCTTGGGTACTTTTCGTCGCTGCAACAAGGCTCCGGAGGGGTAGGGGAGGTATAGCCTTAGCCTTAGCCTTAATCATAGCCTTAGCCATAGCCTTAGCCTTAGCCTTAATCAATCGCCATAGCCTTAATCAACAGTCACGCCTGACCCCACGAGTGGGGTCGGCGGATTAACACTTGTAGTACGTAACAAGTATTAACAAGTGCATCGCTACTTGACAAGAAGCGTGTAGATGTCCGGAAGAATCCCTGTTGCAAGTCGGTGGATGCGTCTGATAGGCGGCAGGGCCACTTGTGACTTCCGACATATCGTCATTTTGAGATTCGGCAGAAGGGCCGGAGGGTGGACATTCAGTCTCTCACAGTACAGTGCAAAATCAGGGAAAACGATGGAACACCTGGAAGTGTTTGATCATGTCTGGTCTCTCAAAAACCGGCGGGACTGCCTGAAAAGTCCTTGAAGCCGGCTGTTCCAAGCCGGAACAATGGTTTCCAAATGTGCGTAGCAACCGGATCTGTTTGAGATCGATTTGAACATTATTAATTATATATATAATATGGTGACTCACTTGGTGGTTCTTTCTCAAGTGAACCAAACAAGAAACGATGGCGGAACGATATGGAACATCTGTTTCATCCACCTCCAAGTGCCCTCCTCCCCCTAGTTTGCGACGGACGCTCCGAAAAAAGAACCTGGGTCGTTTATGGATGGACTGGCGGGGATTATGTGGAATGTCGAGCTCATGGAAAGACAGGAGTCATCATGGCAAGACGTGGATGGCAGGGCCCACAAAATCCACGAATTAAAGATGACTATGTTTTCCCCAAGTAGTTTACGGTTAGGGTCGGGTTTTCTTTTAAGAAAAAACAAGAGCTGGCCACATTGGCTGGCCGTGCCCCTGAACTCTGTGTGAGGGCGTTGTGTCCGGGTCTTGTCCTTCTCTTGTCCTCTGGCCGCGCTGGCCCTGTGTCCTCCTTTTGTTCTCCTCTTGTCCTTCTCTTGCCGCTTGCCCTCCTCTTGTCCTCCTGTTGTCCCCTGGCCACACTGAAACTGTTTGGGGTCTATGCTGGCATAATTACTGTATGTTCTCCGAATACCAAGCAGGTGGTAGTGCCCTCCGAGTAACCAGGAGTGGACCTATCATGATTAGTTCAGGGAGTGTCGTGGCACGTCGCCATTGCTTATAGGTTGGACCCCAAAGTTCAGTTCATTCAGCTCTGACCACATTGGTAGGCTGTAGAACAGAGGTTGATCTGGAGAAATCGGCCAGTGACACTTCACCGATGTCAATAGACCAGACCTACAAGACCAGAAGCATTTCGAGAGCTGAACCTATAGCTGCAAGCTTGCACGGTTTGTTTTGCTGCAAGCTCTGCACTCCTAAACCGGTTGCACCATTCGTTGCAGACGACCGCAGGTGATGCAGGTCTTCATCCAGGCGCCTCATGGCCTCTCGGCCATCGAGGTCGATGGTCACCAGAGCATTGCCGCATTGAAGGCCCGGAGACGACCCCCGGAGTGTGAGTGGAGAGCGTCCCCGGGACGTGACACTGAGGAGCGTGTTTTGTTTATTTTGAGCAAAAAGCAATGAAGAGACCATTATGGACGATCCAGAAACGAGTGAACCAAACTCACTGGTGTCACTTTTGGTTCTGAACTTTTTGTGTGCAGATCCACCCAAAGACCGGCAAAAGGGCACGAGAAGTCCTTAACTTAAGTCACAATGAAGTCAAAGTCACGGCCATGACGCTGAAAGTCGTCGACGCCATTTGCGACGTCGACGCCATGTCAACAACGCCAGAGCGACGTCCTCTCGTCGTCATGTCGTCATCCATTGACGACGACGTCATGTCCAGCACAACGACGTCACGTTGAGGACTTAAGACATATGACAACTTGAAATGGACGTTGGGGAAAGTTTGAGGAGTAGGGTGGAACTTTCAAAAGCCCTCCAAGTCACCGCTGTGGACATGAGATAATGCTTATTGCAGACAGAGCAGATCTGAGGGTTAATCTTTCACCAGGCATGGCCGGCATGGCCAATGCAACACGAAACTTTCGAAGGATGTGACACCTTAAGAGAATCATTGGTAAGACCGCAGGCCTGTTATTCACACCACACAGTGGAACCACATGACGCTGTTTCCAGCCTTCCTCATTGAAGGCCCTTGCTGTAGTTTCCTTTGACCGCTGGCACACCAACATGAGACCACTAAAGGAAAGGGCACTTGAGACTTGAAACAATCTTGACCAGTATTATTCTTTAGTTTACACTCTTCATGTGCACATACTGGCTGGTGGGTTCTACAGTTGCCAGATGTATTTTTGTTTTTTGAAGAAATCAAGCATCGTTGACATCCCGAACCATCACTGCTTACAATACTGCTCATCTAAACATGCAGCAGTGGGTTCGCTCAAACCGCTCGGGTCTTCAGTTGCATCGGTCTGCACTGCAGGAGCAATTGGTGATCCTCTCGGGTGTACCACGTGAAGAGTGAGGAACCGAACGCTTTAGCATGGGTGGAGGAAGACGATAGCCCACAAGCAGATTTGATCTTTCTGCAGATAAGTATATCTCATTTCTACAATACACATCTATCTATCTATGCATCTATCATCTATCTATCTATCTATCTGTCTGTCTGTCTATCTATCTATCTATCTATGTGTTCTTCAATTTTATTCAATGTTTCTTCAGTTGTTTTGAGTTTGCTCTTCTGCGATGGCCGATCTGGGTCTGGGTCCATCTCTTTTTTGTTGACTTGCTTCGCTTTGTCTTCGTAGGAGTGACGACTCGCGGTGGATGTTTGTTTCTTTGGAACGACGCTCCCGGATGCCTGAAAAATCCAGGGTTCCGAATTCACCAACCACAAGGAAGACATAGAAAGACGACATGATCATGAAACTTAAACAAGGGTTTCTCGAAAATATTCGCGGATTTTCAGTAGTAACAAGGACGCTAGTAGTAACAGGTGCCACGCTAGTAGTAGGGGCTTTGTGACCCCATCTGGGCATCACCGTGTGAGATCCGTTGACCCAAGGCAGCGCCTTGTGTTTGGCGGCTGCTCCCTCTCTGACCTCCAGACCTTCGCGGAATGTGGCAGCCTGAGAAGTGATGAGTTTGGACGACCAAATTGGTGGTGTTCCGAACTGGTGTGTTTTCAATGTTTTCCCCTGGGATCTCCACTAATTACACCTAGATCAGCTGTGAACAAGACCAGACGCGTCTCGGAAATCGAGCGTGACCCACACATCGTGCCGAAATTGCCCGAGGTGGTGTGGAAGATGGCTCCACGATTTTCATGAACTTGGACTTGAGCAGCTTGGAGAGAATCCACCTGGACTGGACTGCCAAACAGACCCGGGAATCCTCTCCCAAGGAAACGCGTGGTCGGCGGCTCGGAGTGTAGGGACACAATGCTGAGCAGCACTAGTGAGGTCGGGATGTTTTTGAAGGATTTTTGGTAATGTCTATTGCTCAAGAACCAAGTTCTTTCATACCTGAAGTTTTCCTTGTCGCACGATCAGGAAAGTCTCCGAGCAGAGGAACTCATCTACCAGCTTCAAACGGGAGCCTCCTTAGTTTGGGACAAGGCCATGTATGTATATATATTCTTTACCATTCATGAAAGACGTTGGTTAGACACATGACATACCTGGCCAGTGACCTGGCCAGTGCACATGCCGGCCCCTGGCCAGACCTTCTGGGAAGGAACTCTTCAGTCGGAGCTCTGAAATGAGTCATACGGTATGACATGGTATGACCGGAAAACGCCATGGATAACCAAATGCTGGGGCCACCGCAGTGTCACCCAGTGGACACGTTCCGTTTTCCTCCTTTATCCTCTTTTGCACTAGGAGTTGAACACGGTGATGGCTTAGACCGAGCAATGCCATTTGAGATGGGGTGGCCTCTTCTTCCGGGTAATTGCTGCTTAAGGGCAGCAGCGAACACACTACTAGCGATGGCCTCCAACCTGCAAGAGCGAACACTGATTGCCTTATGAATCCTCATAAGCTATAACCTCACACATCGCTCGCTGGCTCGCTTGATGGCACGGAAGATGAAGGTGGCACTGGCAATGCGATTACTCAAGCCTTACACTTGTGGCTTGCCCGTGCTTGTACCACTCATCCCACTTTTTTGGTGTTGAGGTTCTCATGCCCCACACGTCACGTGGACGAACCGACACACCGGGACACAACAGACCAAGGCGGTGGTGGCAAGAAGCGGCTCAGCTGGAAACAAAAAGGATGATGGACGACTGGAACCCCTTTATTCAAATTCCGGATGGTTCAGGATTTTTTCTAAAACAAACAATTAAGCCCTAAAGGGATCCACATCACATACCTTCTGCACTTAGTCACTTGGACCCTCCAAGCCTGCTAAAGGAGTCTCCAATTATTTTCTCAGAGGGTATGTAATATGTGGATCCATTGGAGGGGATTCCTTTTTTTTCGGAGAAGAGGGGGCCTCGAATGAACCGAAGGGTGTGGGGGAGGCAGCGACATGGTCACCAGGGAAGACCAGCAATTTCTGAGATGAGGTGATGAGTTGATGTATTCATCAGTGAGTTGAGATGGAATTCTGGAAGAGAGAATCTTCTACAATCTCTTCAGGTGGAAACTCTTGGAACGCACCTTCGCCTTCCACGTCTTGTGTGTGTGTGTCAGTTGTTCCTCCTGTCTTTGGGGCTTATGATGATGTGTGTCATACGGCGGGCACACCGGCACCGGCAGAATTCGCAACGTGAGAGATGAAGGCATTGTACTGTTTGAGAGCACATCAAACCTAACATGTTTTTAAGGAACTTCTCTAAGCAGGGCCAGGAATTCTCTAAGCAACCGACACAAACCAGGAGCGTTCTATTCTTACGATCCATGACATGAAGCATGTATTGTCCGTTCCACGCTTTTATTTGATGCGCCTTGCCGAGCGAAGACTCTGTTCCTGGTGTGGATTGAGGGTTTGTTTGTTCCTCTTCCAAGAGCACACAAACGCCACTTCATTGAGATGTTTCAGAATGTTGAATGCAATTATATATATAAGTATATATAGACTCAAACACAATGAAACAAAAGGTGGGGAGAAACTCGAAGTTCTCCATCGCCACCAATCTGGAGTCTGAGACTATATGTTCCTTTCGAAGGGCCATATTTTCTGAGAGCTCGGCTAGGCGAAAGAAAAAGACCTACACCAAGCCGAAGAAGATCAAGCACAAGAGGAAGAAGGCTCGACTGGCCGAGTTCGGGTTCAATACCGTGACTGTGGTGACTGGTGACTGTGGCATTCTGCCGTGCGAATTGGAATGTCTACTTCACTATACAGTAAGCGCTTGCGACACGAAACCTGGCACTGGAGTTACCCATTCAATCACTTGGCTAGCGGAGGACAGACACGCTGAACTAACATGTAAGGGCCCCTTTGATATACAATAGGGCCCTTTTAAAACGGGGCCTTACGAATATCCACCTGATATCTTTGTGTTTCAGACAAGTCGTTGGGTGAACACCGCAGTGAATACCCGTGACTTTTGCGGGACGGCCCTGAAAAAACTCGAGGGGCCAGGTTTCCGCTTGGGACTGACGTAACTCCGCTGCCTGACAGGATGTGGTAGCCACTCGTGGCAGCATCTTGCAAACGCCCAAATGTGTCAAGCGGATGGTCGTGCCCTGTTGCCTTCCGTATGACGCACCCATCGTCTAAACAGACTGGAACGGAATCCAACATCCATCGGTTCCTTGCTCTCGAGTGGCTCTGAGCCATCCTCGTACTGTTTGTTACTATGTAGGAAGGGGGAGTGGGCGAAAAAAGGGCGACTGTACTAGTAGCGATGCACTTGTTCCTAACGCGAAGGTGAAGCTGGCTGTGTTGAAGTTCTACAAGGTGGATTCCAATGACAAGGACGGAGCACACTGAGTTCGCTGTGTCTCGCACAGCTTCTTTTCATGCATCTTCGATCTTGGAAGTTCGTTTGAGTGAGTAGCTTTCGCTAGATCTCGTTGGAAGATGAGCTCCGATAAACAATTGAATTGCAAACAGAGGCACTTGATTCATGTGTTAGCGACTTGAGTGTTGTTTGGGAGTTAACGGCCTGCTCCACAACAACACATGTTCCTCCGAGCCGGGGGAACCCGACCGCTCACTCACGCCGAACGTCACGAACTTCTCGAACAACCGCAGGTCACCCGCTTGCGGAGGGAATGCCCCTCAGAGCAATGTGGCCCTGGCGTGACGTGGCACGAGGGGCCAGGGTGGGTGCGTCGTTGCTTTGCTCTGTTCAGTCGACCTCAAAAGCGCTACTTTTTCAGCACCGGGAAAGGAGGATGGAAAGGATATAGGTCTCCAAAGGAGTAGTGAATTTGGCTCGATTTCGGCATTCAGGTGTTTTTCTCCTACAAGAAAACAAGGGAAGAACGTTATAGGCATCGAAGGCGGTGGATGATTGACATTTCCTCGATCTATAGGGGTACTAAATGGTATATACTAATTAAAGCACGTTTGACATTCAATACACGTTTCTCCCAAGGACCAAGGGGTTCTTACAGTGAGGGTAAGGCAGGGTTCGTGGCCAGGATTCGCGTTGCTCGCTGGGTCATTTCTCTTTTCGACCGTCTCGCAAGCAGTTGTCCTCATGGTCGTTGCATGGACGTTTCACGTGGCAGGTGTAGTAATTTGGCTAGGCGATCATGTGTGTTTGAGTGTGTGTTTGCAATTCCACTCTCATAGTGGCGCTGCGGGCATTTATCAAACTTGATAGTCACTTTTTCATGGCTGGCGCAAGAGAATCTTCGTGTCTTGGTGGTCTCAAGTCGACTTGTTTCGTTGCAAGCGCAGGAGATCTTACTTGGATGTGCAGATTTTGTGGTAGGCCTTTGGACTTGGTGGTGGTGCTTGGAGTGTTCAGATTTCCTGGCAGGCACAGTGACTCGGGAAGTTTGGACTTGTGACTTGTGGCTGCTTTCTGCAATTTGGGTGGAAGTCTCGTGCAGAAGATGTCTTTGGTATCTCGAAGTATTCCGAGTTTGATGATCGCGAAAGGCTACAGGCACAACGCAATGCTAGGCATAAAGATACATGCCTGGAGCCTGGAGGATGTGCTTGCAACTTGTGTCACTTGGTCTTACACCAATGCCAGGCTTCTTCATGGCCATGTTGTCCGTTTTCCAGAGAGGATCGAGGGGCACGCGTGAGGTAGCTTCGGATTGAGCGCCTCGCGTTTGGTATCTCAACATATTTGTATTTCTTAGTAGCTTACCTTTCGTGGTCGCTACTTTGCTTTGTCCACGTTGGTAAGGCTTTCTACCGCAACCGACCCGGTTTCGAGGCAACATGTTGCTGGCATTTGCAGTTGCAGTATGCTGCTTTTGTTTGTATGATACAGAAAGCTCTTTGGGTTGCGGCGAAGCATGCAAAAACTCACAAAAGACTGGATTCCTTTTGTGGAGGGTGTTGTGAGGAGAGACCATATGCTTGTTAAATGCATGTCTGGATGCGCGGAAGCCAATGCCACAAGATGTCACGAGCCCTACCATTGGAACGCATCCTGCGCCCGGACCTATCGAGGATTAATAACGCAAAAGGTCGAGGCGGAGGCGCCGTTCGGGCTCTGTGAAAAAATAGCTCGAGAAAATAAAAACAACATGATAGCAAAAGGAACCTACTAGCGATGGACTCCAAGATCCAATAAATTGTGATTCTGATTGAACGCCGCCCACGTCATCAGTTGAAAGGTTGAAGTTCAAGGCAGATATAAGCTTTTGTTTGTCTTCCACTTTGAGCTTGACAGGCAGTCGACGAATCTGACTGGGAGCCGCGTAACACGTGGTCTAGTAGCAAGGACGCTACTAGGGGCTCCCGGCCTTACTACTAGGAGCAAGAAGCTACTAGGAACAAAGGGCGTCGCTACTAGGAGCCAGGACGCTACTTGTTGCCGTCCACGGCCGAATCCGACGGCCGAAACCACCGTTCTTATTGCGCCAGCGCAGTCGGCTATGGGCGGCGCCCTTCGCGCTGCATGCGGCCGGTGATTTCACCCGTTCCTGGTGGCCTCTCTCTGTTCCTGACCTCGCAGGAAATAAGTATAAAAGTCCCAACAACAACTGCATGGGTATTGAATTACACTGCTGGTTTAGCTACGCAGCTGGTCTCAGGTTCCTTTGACTGTGGCCGCGTTGGCCATGAATTATTTCGGATTGAGCCAGTGCGTTTGCACAGATTCTCCAGTGCGGTGCACTTGTTGCAGGCCTACCTTCCAGTTGGCCACAGTCTAAATCTGGTATATCGATTGACCCCTGTTTTTTTTCTGCACATGCTAACGCAGATGATCCCCAGGAGGATGGGCGTCAGAGTTTCGCGGTTTCTTCACCGTGCGTTGTTGTCGCCTTGGCCTTTCCTTCTTGCATCGCTGATTTGTGCGCGGCCGGCTTGTGCCCTTGGGCCTGTGGTCATTTCACTGGCCGCTGTCATGTTTCTGAGGTTCTGTGAAGGTTGTGTGCATCACAAGGACTTTGCCGAGATCGGCAGTGGGACGGGCCGAGGGTGACTAGTTGTGCATATTTGTGCACTTTCCGTGCTGCTTTTTCGTTGTACGTATATACCCTGTCTTCGTTTTTCTGGTGCTCTTCTTTCTGGTTCTTAGGTCAGATATGGTCAGATACTAGTAACAAGAAGCTAGTAGTAACAAGTGCATCGCTTCTAGTAACAA